TTTGTCAACTACTTTACCAAGAAAATAGCTGACATACGCTCCTCTTTCTCAAACCCACCTCCTACTTCTTGCAGCCAACTGGCTTCACCTCTATCACCCTCACTTTCCTCTTTTACCCCTCTGTCTCCTAACCAAATTCTTACCCTAGTAACCTGCACATACTCAGACCTCAGGTACGACACGCATTGGACCCACTACAGTTCGCATACCAGGAGAAGGTAGGAGTGGACGGTGCGATCACATACCTGCTGCATAGGACGCACACTCACCTGGACAAAGGGGAAAGTGCTGTGAGAATCATGTTCTTTGATTTCTCCTGTGCTTTTAACACCATCCGACCCCTCAGACTGGGAGACAGGCTCATGCAAACTACATGTTCAGGGCTTTCTCCAGTGCTTTTAACACCATCCGACCCCTCAGACTGGGAGACAGGCTCATGCAAACTACCTGACAGGGCGGCCACAGTTTGTCAGACTGAAGGACTGCCTGTCTGACAGTGTGGTCTGCAGCACCGGAGCACCACAGGGAACTGTGCTCCCTCCTGCTCTGTTCCACCTGTACACTTCTGACTTCTGTTACAATACAGAGTCTTGCCACATGCAGACGTTTTGAGACGACACTGCAATTGTGGGGTGTGTCAGGGATAACCAGGGATGGGAGTACGTGAGCCTGGTGGAGGACTTTGTGCAATGGTGCAAGCACAACCAATTACAACTGAACACTGCTAAGACCAAGGAAATGGTGGTGGATTTCCGCAGGTCTCAGCCCACCATGCTAGAAATTTCCATTGAGGGGGTCAATGTGGAGGGGGGAGGCACATACAAGTATCTTAGGGTAACCCTGGACAATAAACTGGACTGGTCTGCCAACACTGACGCAATCTACAAGAAAGGCCAGAGCCGGCTGTACTTTCTGAGGAGGCTGCGGTCATTCAACGTCTGCAGCAAACTCCTCCAGATGTTTTACCAGTCTGTCGTCGCCAGCGTCCTCTTCTACGCGGTGGTGTGCTGGGGAGGAAGCACTAAGAGGAAGGATGCAGGGCGACTGGATAGGCTGGTGAAGAAGGCTGCCTCTGTGGTTGGTGCTGAACTGGAGTGCATCACTTCAGTCACAGACAAAAGGAGCCTCACCAAACTGCTCACCATCATGGACAATGGAAACCATCCTCTCCACAGCACAATCAGTCGACAGAAGAGTCTGATCAGCAGGAGACTGCTCTCGCTGCCATGTAGGACTGATAGACTGTATAAATCATTCATCCCCAGAGCCATACAACTGTACAATAACACAACCGGCCAACCAAAGGTACCTCACTAGAAAAACTCTAGTGAGCCATGTTTACTGGCTATGTTAGCCTTTGCACAGCCCCCCCCTGACTACTGGCTATGTTGGCCCTCTGCACAACCCTCTGAGACAACACCATCCTGTAGATACTCGCTCTACAACATCAGGAGAACACGTCCTCTTTCTCACTCAGAAGGCTGCTCAGGTACTGATTCAGGCTCTTGTCGTCTCCCTCCTGGACTACTGTAACTCTCTCCTGCAGGTCTCCTGCTACCACCATTCAACCTCTGCAGCTCATCCACAATGCAGCAGCTCCACTGGTCTTTAACCTTCCTAAGTTCTCCCTCACTCCTCCACTCCTCCGCTCTCTTCACTGGTACCGGTGGCTCATCCAGTTCTAAACATGGTGCTCACGTACCGTGCTGTGAATGGATGGGGTCCAGCTTCCATCCAGGACCTGGTCCAACCCGACATCCCGACCTCTGACCTCTCCGCTCTGCATGTGATAAACTGCTTGTTCCTCCTCACTGAGAGCAAAACACTCGACTAGATCTCCACTCTTTGCTGTCCTGCTCCTAAATGGTGGAAGGAGGTCTATGAAGACATCAGGACCACAGAGAGCCTTCACATCTTCAGACTAAAGACACACCCTCTTCAGACTCTACCTCCACTAACACACTAACTAACTGTAGCACTTACATTGGACTTATAATGGTTCTTATCTACCAGCAAATTGTAAATTGGCTTATTTGAGGAAATTGCACTTTCTTGTTTCTTGTTCTCCTGAGTTTGTACCCTATGGTTAAATGCACTTATTGTACGTCGCTTTGGATAAAAGCGTCAGCTAAATGACAAAGAAAGAACATCTTACTTTGTATGACGTCACTGAAATGGTTCAAAGTGTAAAGATGAACAGTGAGTATTTTGTGTGTTGGTGTTTGTACTCTCAGTGTGTTGTGAGTGACAGTGTGTGTTCTCACAGTGTTTGCTGCACTGAGCCTGTTTGGAGTCGTGTGTTAAGAGTTGTGTTGCTTGCAGTGAGTTGTGCAGGTGATGTGAGCGGTTGAGCTCAGGTGACTGTTGCTGCTGCAGACTGGAGTCAGAGTTTTGCACATGTGACTCCAGTTGTGTCCGCTGACGTTTAGCAACCGGAAAAAACTGTAAGTGTGTGTTTGTGTAGTTAAACCTCCGTCTGTAAGTTAATCTGAGTAAATGCTAAAAGTAAGAAGAAAAGCCTAAAAGTAAAAAGTAAATCTACAGCTGTGGGGGAACACGCGTAAGCTAGTAAATGCTAAAATAAAAGTACGAAGGAAACACTCGAAGCAGAGAAGTCAGGAGACTGTGGGTGAGTTGGGTCGTCCTCCAATCAGAGGGTTGGCGGTTTGATTCCAGGCTCAGCTAACCCGCATGTCCATGAGTATCTCAAGGGTTTGTATTAGAATACATGTTCAAATATTAAACAAAATACAGTGTGAGATGAAGTTAAAAGGAATAAACTGGACACGCCTCATTATTCAGCTCAACTGAAGCAGCTTCGTCAGAGACGTTAGAGACGTCTTCCTCAAACGAAGCTCACCAGCCACTACTTTACCTTTTATGGTGCTGTTTATCCGACACATCGATTTGCCCCATTTCTCTTCTTCTTACACTCACTGTTTCACTTCCTTTATGGTCACGATGACAGTTCACTCCCCCAATGACATTTGTCTCTGCTCCACTCCATAAATACCCAGAGATGGTTTCCTCCGTCAGTCGCTGTCTGCAGGTGTCTGTGCAGGACGATGAGGATGAAGATGATGATGGCAGTGACGGTGCTGTGGGTGGTGCTCCTCCCGTACGGCGTCTCTGGAGGAAAATTGATGGTAAAGTACAAGCTGGTTTGTTTCACTGTAACATTTGCTGATGGGTCAATGTATTCTCATGATTCCATTTATTCCTGTTAAGTCGCATGCTGGACGTAAGCCGGTCGCTCCCCCTCCACCTCCACCTCCCCCTCACCTCCACCTTCCACTGGACATGGCCCCGAACTCTGTGGACGACATGTACAAAGGCTGCGCCGATGAAATGGAGAAGAAGGCCGTAGACTTCCTAAAGAAAGAACGGAAAGACAACAAGGTGTTTAATGAGATCTGGGAGAAACTGAAGGCAAATCAATCAACCAATGTCTTAACCAAAGAAGAGATTACGGCTCTTAGTGTTTACACCTCAGATACAACGTATCCTGGTTTTAATAAGGCCACCAGAGAGCAGGGACCCAAGTACAAGACCGCATTCAAGTACCACGCGCTGCACTTTTATCTGACCAGAGCCGTGCAAAACCTTAATGCTCTACAGAAGGAGTGTTACAACGTCTACCGCAGGACGGACGTGTTCTTCCGCCAAGACGTCCTCAACAAGAAGGTTCGCTTCAGCTCCTTTGCCTCCTCCTCGCTGAGAAACGACCTCACAGATTTTGGAGACAAGTCGTGCTTTGAAATTGAAACGTGCATGGGAGCGGACATCTCATGGTTCTCCACCTTTAACCAGAGAGAGGTGCTGATTCCTCCTTACGAGGTCTTTAAGGTAACAAAGATAACAAAGAGATCAGAGCAGCCCGATCTCTGGTGTAATGTGGTCTACAAGCTGAAGAGCACAAAAACAACTAAATCCAATTTGGATTGTGCTCTTATTTAAAAGAAGCGCTGCAAGTTTCCTGCGGTTGACAAATCATGCAACGTCTGAAATTTAGGATGCAATGATTCTCTGCAGATGATCTTTAACCAGAAATGATTGTTATTTAAAATGCATTTGTTACATTTGAATAAATCCACATATTGTGTAAAGAGTGTTTATGGAAGAAAAAATGAATCCATCAAATTTTAATGAAGGATCTAAATTAATATAAAGATGTTTTAACTTGTATGTATCTTCTAATACTTCTCACATCATCAGTGTTTAAATTGGATGCATAATCTGTCCTAAAGAGTCGCTGGCTAGAAAACTGTCAGAAGGAATAAATAAACATCCTGGTGCTTCTGCACGTTTGTCCAATGTTCTTTTCCACATTCAAGCACCTCGGTGTCCTCACCAGCTTTTATTTTGTAGTAAGTGTCTCTGGTAACAGATGTTCTTTAGTTGAGTGGAAGAACTAAACTTTGTTCTACTGAAACAGACAAAGATCCTCTGAGCGAGACTTACATAAGAAGAGAAGAACTCAGCATCATCCATCAGAGAGACTGGAACATCAGCTTCCTGTTTGTGTCAAGAATTTCACAATAAACAACTTGGCCAGAGTTTGGGTTTCAAAATGAGTTTTAAGAGTTTCACAATAAAAGCAGCCGAGGAGAGGCTTGATTAAGATGATTGAGGCGTTTCTTCAGACTCAGTGGGAACAGAAGGTCGGTCAGTAGCTGCTGGAGCATCAGCTGATCACAGGTTAGTCACATGACTGTGGGTCAGAAAACTCCATTTTACACACACACACTGTTTGTTTACTTTATTTCTTTGAAAGAAAAAGTTCTGCACATTTCTGTTCTTTTAGAAAGTTGAAAAAAAAGTTTGCCTTGTACAAACATTTAAAAACGAACAAAAATGGCCGTACAGATGAAGTTGGATCCACTCTGCAGAGCGATGAACTCGTTCATTAAATCAGCAACATCCTGGAGATTTAATTCTTTCACCCCAAAGTGAGATTGAAATAAGAAGAACAACCACTTCTTCCCTCTGAGAAGCGACTGTCTCAAAGTTCATCACAACAACAACAGCAGCATTGTGTGTGTTGTTGTATTTCGCCCCATTGAGGACACGAGGGGTCAGAGTTCACGATGAGTCCAGCTGTGTGTGTGTGTGTTATTTGGTGCGCAGCAGCTCCAGCTGGTCCTGGTACTCGGTGAACAGTCTCTGGAACCTCAGGTTCTCCACCATGACGGGTAAGACCTCCCGCAGCAGCTCGCGCTTCCGCAGGCCCTGAACACACAGACGCACGTTAGCACCGCTAGCTAGCGGTTAGCGACACGGCCTAGAGTACATCAGATGCAGGGAGGACGTCCCTTCATGTCCTCAGAGTCTCTGGAGGACCCCAGTGATCCCTTTACAGCTCCTTCAAACCAGACCCACCGCTTCTGCGCATACCTTTCACAATAAAAGCCCTGTAACTGGCGACCAGAGCGGAACTCAAATGAACTCAGTCAAGCGTTTCACTTGAAGGAGTAAAATGAAGCACAGCGTTCGTGTCCTCTCAGTGTTTAAGGTCTAAAGACACGAGAGGTTGTGTGGGAGGAACTAGTTTCTCTACCAGCGTGCTGGGCTCCCACGCCGTGGCGGCTGATTTGTGGACGGGACCCAGCAGCTCCTTGCAGAGTTCTCGGAGACGATTCTCAGAGCCTGGGGGGGGAAACACACACACACACGTGTTGAAAGCGCTCCTCTACAGCGAGCGTCCTCAGGGAGCGTCTTTGGGGTGTACCTTCGCTGACGAGGAAGCGGGCGTAGATGAGCAGCCAGTGACGGTATTCCGCCGCCGACTGCAGCGTCAGAGCCGACGTCAGCTGGTTCTCCAGGAAGGCCAGCGTCATGCTCTGCTGTAGGTGGTGGGGGGTGGAGGAGAGGCGGGACGCCAGCCGCCCGGCGCTGCAGGGACGAGACAAAGAGACACTTTACGAGTCTTATACTTCAACACATCTCTGATTTGTTGCTCGTGTTGTTATCAATAAATTGATCTTGTAAATGACCACTAGCAGTGTTCTTTTATTTTGATGATCCTGTTTTCTACTTAGATTTTATGTGACTTTTATTTTGACATCATACTATCTGCTCACGTGATTAATCGCTCGCGCTCACATTTGTTCAATAGAAGACACGAGAAGCTAGCTAGCAACTTAATAAGTTAAGCTAATGGCGGCGGACTTCCCTGGATCACCACTTTATAGCAGCCTTTGATATGCGGAGCGAGGTATGTGCTTCATTGTGATTGTATTTCATGTAAATTCATTTCATATAATGACTGTTGCCTGCTATGCTGTTATCCATGTATGCTAAAGTGCATTTGTCAAAGGATTATTTTGTATCTGGCTAAATTGCCTTTGTTATTTCCCTTTTTTGGTTTTCACGGTGTTGGTGCTATGCACACTCATCTCAATTAAAGTACACCCGTCTGGAAACCCTCCCAAGCCTGTTTATTCCAAGTTGAAGGGACGCTACAGATCTGTTTTACAATTAGGAATCAAATAAGGAGGTATGACGGCATCGCAGCCCTCTGATTGGACCGTGAGATGCCATTAGACCCTCCCCCTCCCTTATGGTGTGGTGTCCTACTTGAGGTTGCGTCCCTGCATAACAGCCAGTGGTCCCGAGGACACAGGTGCATCGTGGGTAGGCAGGCAGCTCCTGAAGTCGGCACACTGGACCATGGAGTCTCCTTTGTCTGCTACCAGAGTCCTGAGAGACAAAGGGGGGGGGAGGGTTACACCACTCCAGTCCCACTCCGTCGTGTCTCCATGGCAACGCGTCTCACCATGTCTCCAGCGAGGAGCTGAAGCAGTAGGACTTCCCGTTGGACAGGCCGATGACCGGGACCCCCTGCTGGGTCAGCAGCGACTGGGACACCGTGGCGTCGGCACCTGTCACTCAAACGTGTAGAGATGAAGAGTGAGACTGAGACGCTTCTACTGACGTCCTCTTCATCACGTCTCTTCCTGCTCACCTGATAAGATGCTCAGCAGAGACTCGTTCTTCACCAGAGCTTTTTGCTTCTGAACGTCCCTGCAGAGAGAAACAGCTGTTATTACAAAGGACAGCTGGTCAGCTGATCAATGAGAGCCGCCGGACGCCATGCTGAGAACACGCCCCCCCTGCCCCCCCCCACAGAAACATCTAATCAGTAAAAAGAGTCACAAAAACAGTCACTGACCAGACGGACAGCGTCGCTCTGGCCGTCAGCGCCATGACGAAGTGGGCGGAGCAGTGCAGGGCCGAGGTGGGCGTGGCCAGCTGGATGGCCGGGAGGAGCCGCCGCCCACAAGAAGAGAAGAGCGACAACATCCTGTCCTGGCAGGCCACGGCGAGGACGTCGCTGGAGGGAAACACCGATGCGTTCAAGTGTCCATCCCTTTAACGTTGTGGGTGGAGCTACACGAGTAGCCTGTTCGGCCCTCAGACCCCTCCCCCTCGAGGGTCTCGTACCTGCTCCCTGCTGCCGTGACCACTGAGCTGGGCAGCTGCGTGTTCCACTCCCGTCCGTCCCTGGAGCAGCGCAGCTGGCTGAGCTTGGACCCGGCGACCAGCGACACCTCGTTCTCCACCTCCAGGAACACCGGCGGCTCGGCGCTCACCTGCAGACGCCACACACCTCAGTCAATGGGGGGCCGGGGGGCACAGACCCGTGTGGGAAATGGAAAGTCTTTGTTGAGCTTGTTTCTCTGGGAGCATGGGGTCGTGGCCGGGCCTCAGCCCCAGGGAGGAGGAGGGGCCCGGGGAGGAGTCGGAGCTGAGCTGGGAGGTGAGCTGGTTGGACATGGAGGAGCCCGAGGGCAGGATGGGGGCGCTGTTGAGCGCCGGGGAAAAGTCGCTGCAGAGAGAAGAAGAAGAAGAAGAAGAAGATGATGATGATGATGATGATGAAGATGAAGGGACGGTTAGCTGGTGTTCTTTTTCTTGGGTCTGAGCCCGACGGGCCGCCATAGTGTCTCCTGTGTCCTCCTACCCCGTGTCCAGCTGAGCGATGCAGAGCGGCGTGATCCGCCTCCGGCCGTCGGGGGTCCTCGTCTCCACCTGCTTCTTCAGGAGGTTCTGCAAAGACATCTGCTTCAGCTTTGGAAACATCTGCGCCTGTTCGTACCTCATTGACAAACATCTGGACCTGTTCGTACCTCACCGACAAACATCTGGGCCTGTTCGTACCTTCCTGACAAACATCTGGGCCTGTTCATACCTTCCTGACAAACATCTGGGCCTGTTCGTACCTCACTGACAAACATCTGGGCCTGAGTCTCACGTCTCCGTTTTCACAGCATGATACGGCCGTTATTAAAAGGAAGAACGTTTACGAGAGAACGGATCAGATTGAAGAGCTTTTAAATATGAGCGCTTGTACAAGCCGTCATTGGCGGACTATGAGGACGCCGGATGGCCTCTGATTCATGGAGGGAGATCTCCACAAACGAGGGGGACAAAGTCGTGGAGGAAAATACGGGACAAATGTGTCCGTGATGAAAAGCAGCAGTGTGGATGCACGGGGCAATAAAGTCTATGATCAATAAATAAAGCAACCAGCGACTTCCACACACAAAGACGTGACTCTAGGTCGTCTTCAACAAAACACGTGACTCCACCTGTTGTTCTGGAGGTGAATCGCTCTGCAACACACGCAGGACTTTACAACCAGGAAGTGAAACGACGTGAAGACGCAGGAACACGCGGCGGCCTTTAGTTTCTGAAGGAAAACTCAGAAGAGACTTGCTGATGCATTGAAGGGACTCACGTGGGGACGAGCGAGTCCACATGAGGTTCAATTTGAGGCCTAGAAAAGAGAGTTACAGGTTTTTTTTTATTGCTAAACGTCAGCGGGCACAACTGGAGTCACATGTGCAAAACTCTGACTCCAGTCTGCAGCAGCAACAGTCACCTGAGCTCAACCGCTCACATCACCTGCACAACTCACTGCAAGCAACACAACTCTTAACACAAACAGGCTCAGTGCAGCAAACACTGAGAACACACACTGTCACTCACAACACACTGTCACTCACACACTGAGAGTACAAACACACAAAATACTCACTGTTCATCTTTACACTTTGAACCATTTCAGTGACGTCATACAAAGTAAGATTTTCTTTCTTTGTCATTTAGCTGACGCTTTTATCCAAGTGCAAAGTGCAATCTCCTCAAATAACCCAATTTACAATTTGCTGTAGATAAGAACCATTATAAGTCCAATGTAAGTGCTACAGTTAGTTAGTGTGTTAGTGGAGGTAGAGTCTGAAGAGGTGTGTCTGTAGTCTGAAGATGTGAAGGCTCTCTGTGGTCCTGATGTCTTCAGAGACCTCCTTCCACCATTTAGGAGCAGGACAGCAAAGAGTGGAGATCTAGTCGAGTGTTTTGCTCTCAGTGAGGAGGAACAAGCAGTTTATCACATGCAGAGCGGAGAGTGCGGGTCGGGATGTAACTCTCGCAGGAAATAAAGGAAGTTAAAAAGTGAGCGTGAGAAGAAGTCAAATGGGGCGAAACCGTGTCACATAAACAGGAGCATAAATTACAGTTTTTTCCAGTTGCTAAACGTCAGCGGACACAACTGGAGTCACATGTGCAAAACTCTCCAGTCTGCACAGCAGCAGTTCATGAGGACCGAACTCTAGATCCTTTCATTGCTTGAACACAGTTTTCAAAACTCTACACGCTGATCACATGACGTCTCCACAACCTGCACAACACTGTGGATTTACAGCACTTTGTTCAAATGCAACACACTGCTGTCAGAACTGTGAACCACTGAAGAACTGTGAACTGAAAGGCTGAGCAGGTGTCTTGTTTTAGACTTGTTAGTGAACACACACACATATATACATGTGTATACATACATATATATACATATATATATATATATATATACGTACTTACATACATATAAATATATATATATATATATATATATATAGGTAGAGCTCAGAAAGACTCATTTTGAAATGGAAGAAGGAAGACGGGTTGGTGGAGACAAAGAAGACAAAGAGCTGTTACTTCAGATGGAATAAGGCTTCACTTATAAACCATGTGGTGAACCACGTCTCTCACTGAGAGCGTTGAGGGTGGAACCCGATCTGCAAACATCCACAGTGGCGTCTGTAATGCAACTTCTCCATCATACAAACACATGTCCCTTTTTGTGTGGTGACCCGTTATTTATTTATTTTGTGAATTATCTTTTAGATGATTTATAATTCTTTTGATATCAACGATTTAATTTCACATTATTGGTTATTATTAACCAGAGGAAAGCGCCTGCAGCGTTAGGCCTCTTACAAAGAGCACGTCCTTAACAAACCGCACACGCTTCAACTCTGTGACCATGCGTTCTTTGTCAGAGACGCCCGCAGGAAGTAAAGGAAGTTAAACAGTGAGCGTAAGAAGAAGTAACATGGGGCGAAACCGTGTCACATAAATTAAAGTAGTGTCTACTGAGCTTTGTTTGAAGCTGCTTTAGTTGAGCTGAGTAATGAGGCGTGTCCACTTAGTTCCTTGTTGTTCGCCCGTATCTGTAACTGTCCGTCTAGTCGGAGAGGAACGGCACGCATATCAGGACTGGTGAAAATGTGATATTTTTGAGGTCTCACATCTGGGTATAAAGAAATGTTTCTATAGCGCCCCCTAGAAATGTGAAAAGTACCTCAGTAGCTCAGTGTTTTCTGCGATGCCTGATTGAGTTGAAATCTGACACACATGTGCTCTTGGACATATAAAAAACTCAACCATGGTAAACAAATGCGCCTAACGATATTTTCAGCCATTTAGAATCTGGTCAAAAACATGTTTTTGTCCATTTCTCTTAAACACTGTTTACAATTCTCAAGACATTTTCTGTGGATCATTATTGGTTCAATGTCCACCTGAATAAAAACAAAAATTGTTCATGTTATTGTTGTTTATCTCATTGATTTGAGAAGATGTGGACCAATGAACTTCTAAGGGGTGTGGCTTAATATGGCCAGACACATATCTTCCAAATGACGTGGCCTGCCCTCACCAAATTTGTAGCATATGTATATTTGCGCCCCTAACCAAGCCTCGTTTTCAAGTAATATTTGAAGACTAAAGAGGCGGCAGTTAATCGCTCAAGATCTGGATTTTTTGCCATTTTTTGGCTATTGTCGTTGTTTATTGGAGTTGTAAAAGATCAAACTCCTCCCAGAAATGAAACCTGATTCTTTTCACATTTGGGGAGTGTGATCTTAAAACCTTGAAGCTTGAAAAAATATTGAACTATGAGTGTGGTGCTTTGGCAAAATACCACAATTCGCCATGAAAGTGAAATGGTTTTAACCAAAAATTATCTGCTCCGTAGTCATGAAAACCTTACACTATAGACATCCATATGACTATTTTTATCCTAGTCATAGCGCCACCCAGTGGCAACAGGAAGTGTATACTTATATTTTACACCCTGCTCCTCGCAGATTAGTTTTTTTCGGTTGCTAAACGTCAGCGGACACAACTGGAGTCACATGTGCAAAACTCTCCAGTCTGCACAGCAGCAGTTCATGAGGACCAAACTCTAGATCGCTTTTCATTGCTTGAACACAGTTTTCAAAAGTCTACACACTGATCACATGACGTATCCACAACCTGCACAACACTGTGGATTTGCAGCACTTTGTTATATATATATATATACAGTATATACAAGTAGAGCTCAAAGACTCATTTTGGAAGTGGAACAAGGAAGACGGGTTGGTGGAGGGAGACAAAGAAGACAAAGAGCTGTTATTTCAGATACAATAAGGGCTTCACTTATAGACCATGTGGTGAACCACGTCTCTCATTCCCCACACGTATGAGTCTACCTAACTGTCGCCCTATAGGTGAGCCTGGGTGGGGCCTCGTCTTGATGGCTAATGGAGAGCACCTGGGCCCGGTGTCTCCTAAGCTATATATGCCATGCCCCTGCCAGGTGAAGGGGGCCAGAGGGGGCAGACCCAGAGGGGGCAGATTTTCGGAAAATTAACAACGTGACACGACCAGATGCCTTTCCGTTGCCTAGAATGGATGATTGTATTGATCAGGTTGGGTCGGACAGATTCGTCAGCAAATTTGATATGTTGAAGGGATATTGGCAAGTCCTGCTTTCAAAGAGAGCTTGTGAGATGGCATCATGTATTACTCCATTGGGTCTTTATTCATATAAAGTTATGCCATTTGGGTTGAGAAATGCACCGGCGACGTTTCAACGCCTCATGAATAAGGTTGTTGGTGACCTTGAGGGCGTGGCCGTTTACTTGGATGATTGTGTGGTTTTCAGTGATACCTGGGACTGTCACATTGCTCGTGTTCGCGCTCTCTTTCAGAGGTTGACTGATGCGGGGTTAACAGTGAATCTCGCAAAATGTGAATTTGCTCATACAACAGTCACATACCTTAGCCATGTGGTCGGTCAGGGGGAGGTCCGTCCTGTACAGGCGAAGGTCGCTGCTGTGGAGTCTTACCCTCCTCCTGCTACTGAGAGGGAACTTAGGCGCTTCTTGGGGTTAATTGGGTACTATAGAAGTTTCTGCAAAAACTTTATCTGTGGTCTGTCCGCTTACTGATCTTCTCAAGGACAAGGTCAAGTTTGTCTGGTCCACCCGCTGTCAGCAAGCATTCCGAAATGCTAAGATCTTGTTGTGTTCTGCTCCAGCGTTGGCAGCTCCTCGCATGGATCGACAGTTCAAGCTGCAGGTTGATGCGAGTCATGTTGGAGCAGGCTGACGGTGGAGGGGTGGACAGGCCGGGCTGTTTTTTTTCCAAGTTTAATAAGCATCAGCTTAATTATTCTGTGATTTGAGAAGGAAGCATTGGCACTGGTGTGGGCTTTGGGGCATTTTAGTGTCTGTGTTGGGTCTGGGGTACCTGTTACAGATCACAAACCACTTACATTTCTGGACTCACTTAAGTGTCCGAACCAAAGGCGTATTAGGTGGTCTTGTGGTCTTGGTGTTCAGAGCCCTATCTAATTTCTGATGGGTTTTTTTGTAGACTGGCGTTGACTGCCATGGCCTGTTCTCTCCCCGGACAAAACCTGTTTGTGCCCCTTTCATCTGGCAGGAGGCTGTCTGGGGTGAGAGGGGTCGGCTACCATCTTTTTAGCTCGCTTCAGAGACCTGGAAGCGAACAAGTCCTGCAGGGACGGCAGGTTTCAGCCGATCACCCTCTTTGCAGAGGGGATGACACGCTGCAGCCTGCCCTTGTCCTTGGCTGTGGCTGCAGCGCACCAGACGCCCTTACAAAGACCACGTCCTTAGCAAACCGCACACGTTTCAACTCTCGCAGGAAATAAAGGAAGTTAAAAAGTGAGCGTGAGAAGAAGTCAAATGGGGCGAAACCGTGTCACATAAACAGGAGCATAAATTACAGTTTTTTCCGGTTGCTAAACGTCAGCGGACACAACTGGAGTCACATGTGCAAAACTCTCCAGTCTGCACAGCAGCAGTTCATGAGGACCGAACTCTAGATCCTTTTCATTGCTTGAACACAGTTTTCAAAACTCTACTCACTGATCACATGACGTCTCCACAACCTGCACAACAGGTTGAACTTTGTTCAAATGCAACGCACTGCTGTCAGAACTGTAAACCACTGAAGAACTGTGAACTGAAAGGCTGAGCAGGTGTCTTGTTTTAGACTTGTTAGTGAACACACACACATATATACATGTGTATACATACATACATATATATATATATATATATATATATATATATATATATACGTACATACATACACATATATACATATAAATATATATATATATAGGTAGAGCTCAGAAAGACTCATTTCGAAATGGAAGAAGGAAGACGGGTTGGTGGAGGGTGGAACCCGATCTGCAAACATCCATAGCGTCTGTAATGCAACTTCTCCATCATACAAACACATGTCCCTTTTTGTGTGGTGACCCGTTATTTATTTATTTTGTGAATTATCTTTTAGATGATTTATAATTCTTTTGATATCAACGATTTAATTTCACATTATTGGTTATTATTAACCAGAGGAAAGCGCCTGCAGCGTTAGGCCTCTTACAAAGAGCACGTCCTTAACGAACCGCACACGCTTCAACTCTGTGACCATGCGTTCTTTGTCAGAGACGCCCGCAGGAAGTAAAGGAAGTTAAACAGTGAGCGTAAGAAGAAGTAACATGGGGCGAAACCGTGTCACATAAATTAAAGTAGTGTCTACTGAGCTTTGTTTGAAGCTGCTTTAGTTGAGCTGAGTAATGAGGCGTGTCCACTTAGTTCCTTGTTGTTCGCCCGTATCTGTAACTGTCCGTCTAGTCGGAGAGGAACGGCACGCATATCAGGACTGGTGAAAATGTGATATTTGTGTGAGGGTATGTGAGGGTACCGGGTTTAGTCCAAATTAGTTGGTCTTTGGTCATTTAGTCCGTGGCCCGCTTGCACTGCTTTATGACAATTTTAAGGCTCCCGACCTTCCTAAAAATCTGACTTTTGTCAATGGGTTCAGGCAGAAGTTGTATGTGGCGGGTTCAATGGGTAAAGAGAACTTTTGCAAGGGCTCAAGTGAAAATGAAGCGCTCTTATGATCGGCGGGCTGAACGACGGGACTTCAGTCCGGTGATCTGGCTCTGTTGCCAATTATCAACTCACCATTTCAAGCATAGTTTACAGGTCCACATATCGTGATTGAGAAACTTTCAGAGGAAAATTATCTCATTGCAACTCCTGACCGTCGTCGTAATTCCACGGAGGAAAGCAGGAAAGTTGGGAGTAACTCCGCTGGAGTTGTTCCACGGATGTTCAAGAGCTCATTTCTGGTGAAAGAGCTCCGGGAATCGCAGCAGGAAACATAATTAACAACAAAAACAACAAAAAACGAAGCGCACCGAAGCACCGTCGCGGCCATCAACGGCGCCATCTTGGATCTGAAGAGAGATGTTGGTTTTGCAAATTCTGAAGCATTTAAAAGGGTCACATAACATTTTCCCATTACACCCCCCCTCTTTTGTCACTCAGGACTCTGGTAGCAGACAAAGGAGACTCCATGGTCCAGTGTGCCGACTTCAGGAGCTGCCTGCCTACCCACGATGCACCTGTGTCCTCGGGACCACTGGCTGTTATGCAGGGACGCAACCTCAAGTAGGACACCACAAGGGAGGGGGAGGGTCTAATGGCATCTCACGGTCCAATCAGAGGGATCCGATGCCGTCATACCTTTATTAAAACAACACGAGCAACAAATCAGATGTGTTGAAGTATAAGACCCGTTAAGTGTCTCTACGTCTCGTCCCTGCAGCGCCGGGCGGCTGGCGTCCCGCCTCTCCTCCACCCCCCACCACCTACAGCAGAGCATGACGCTGGCCTTCCTGGAGAACCAGCTGACGTCGGCTCTGACGCTGCAGTCGGCGGCGGAATACCGTCACTGGCTGCTCATCTACGCCCGCTTCCTCGTCAGCGAAGGTATGCCCCAAAGACGCTCCCTGAGGACGCTCGCTGTAGAGGAGCGCTTTCAACACGTGTGTGTGTTTCCCCCCCCAGGCTCTGAGAATCGTCTCCGAGAACTCTGCAAGGAGCTGCTGGGTCCCGTCCACAAATCAGCCGCCACGGCGTGGGAGCCCAGCACGCTGGTAGAGAAACTAGTTCCTCCCACACAACCTCTCGTGTCTTTAGATTTTAAACACTGAGAGGACACGAACGCTGTGCTTCATTTTACTCCTTCAAGTGAAACGCTTGACTGAGTTCATTTGAGTTCCGCTCTGGTCGCCAGTTACAGGGCTTTTATTGTGAAAGGTAAGCGCAGAAGCAGTGGGTCTGGTTTGAAGGAGCTGTAAAGGGATCACTGGGGTCCTCCAGAGACTCTGAGGACATGAAGGGACGTCCTCCCTGCATCTGATGTACTCTAGGCCGTGTCGCTAACCGCTAGCTAGCGGTGCTAACGTGCGTCTGTGTGTTCAGGGCCTGCGGAAGCGCGAGCTGCTGCGGGAGGTCTTACCCGTCATGGTGGAGAACCTGAGGTTCCAGAGACTGTTCACCGAGTACCAGGACCAGCTGGAGCTGCTGCGCACCAAATAACACACACACACACAGCTGGACTCATCGTGAACTCTGACCCCTCGTGTCCTCAATGGGGCGAAATACAACAACACACACAATGCTGCTGTTGTTGTGATGAACTTTGAGACAGTCGCTTCTCAGAGGGAAGAAGTGGTTGTTCTTCTTATTTCAATCTCACTTTGGGGTGAAAGAATTAAATCTCCAGGATGTTGTTGATTTAATGAACGAGTTCATCGCTCTGCAGAGTGGATCCAACTTCATCTCTACGGCCATTTTTGTTCGTTTTTAAATGTTTGTACAAGGCAGACTTTTTTTTCAACTTTCTAAAAGAACAGAAATGTGCAGAACTTTTTCTTTCAAAGAAATAAAGTAAACAAACAGTGTGTGTGTGTAAAATGGAGTTTTCTGACCCACAGTCATGTGACTAACCTGTGATCAGCTGATGCTCCAGCAGCTACTGACCGACCTTCTGTTCCCACTGAGTCTGAAGAAACGCCTCAATCATCTTAATCAAGCCTCTCCTCGGCTGCTTTTATTGTGAAACTCTTAAAACTCATTGTGAAACCCAAACCCCGGCAAAGTTGTTTATTGTGAAATTCTTGACACAAACAGGAAGCTGATGTTCCAGTCTCTCTGATGGATGATGCTGAGTTCTTCTCTTCTTATGTAAGTCTCGCTCAGAGGATCTTTGTCTGTTTCAGTAGAACAAAGTTTAGTTCTTCCACTCAACTAAAGAACATCTGTTACCAGAGACACTTACTACAAAATAAAAGCTGGTGAGGACACCGAGGTGCTTGAATGTGGAAAAGAACATTGGACAAACGTGCAGAAGCACCAGGATGTTTATTTATTCCTTCTGACAGTTTTCTAGCCAGCGACTCTTTAGGACAGATTATGCATCCAATTTAAACACTGATGATGTGAGAAGTATTAGAAGATACAGACAAGTTAAAACATCTTGATATTCATTTAGATCCTTCATTAAAATTTGATGGATTCATTTTTTCTTCCATAAACACTCTTTACACAATATGTGAATTTATTCAAATGTAACAAATGCATTTTAAATAACGATCATTTCTGGTTAAAGATCATCTGCAGAGAATCGTTGCATCCTAAATTTCAAACGTTGCATGATTTGTCAACTGCAGGAAACTTGCAGCGCTTCTTTTTTTTAATAAGAGCACAATTCAAATTGGATTGATATCCCAAGCTCTTCAGCTTGTAGACCACATCGCACCAGAGATCGGGCTGCTCTGATCTCTTTGTTATCTCTGTTACCTTAAAGACCTCGTACGGAGGAATCAGCACCTCTCTCTGGTTAAAGGTGGAGAACCATGAGATGTCCGCTCCCATGCACGTTTCAATTTCAAAGCACGCCTTCTTTCCAAAGGCCTTATGTCCTACGGGTCCTGGGGAGAGGATGGAGGAGGAGGCAAAGGAGCCAAAGCGAACCTCCTTGTTGAGAACGTCTTGGTCGGAGTAGTACGTCTTCGTCCTGCGTCGGACCTTGTAGCACTGGTTCTGAAGAGCTCTGAGGTTTTGCACGGCTGTGGTCAGGTAAAAGTGAAGTGCGTGATAGTTGAATGCGGTCTTGTACTTGAATCTCTCTGTTCTAGTGGCCTCATTAAAAGGGATATATATTTTATTTTTGCTAGAGGTGTAAACATAAAGGGCCATAACTTGTTCTTTGCTAAGCTTAAAGCCTTCGTACTTCTCTGCTTCTTTCCAGGATTTCCTAAACGATTCGTCGTTGTTCTTCTCATTCTGCAGGTATGTTGCTGCCTCCTCTTCCATCTGTTCGGTGCATATTTGATACATGTCGTCCACAGAGTCCGGGACCATGTCCAGTGGAGGGGTAGGTGGAGGTGGAGGGGGAGCGACCCGCTTACGTCCAGCATGCGACTTAACAGGAATAAATGGAATCATGAGAATACATTGACCCATCAGCAAATGTTACAGTGAAACAAACCAGCTTGTACTTTACCATCAAGTTTGCTCCAGAGACGCCGTACGGGAGGAGCACCACCCACAGCACCGTCATTGCCATCATCATCTTCATCCTCATCGTCCTGCACAGACACCTGCAGACAGCGACTGACGGAGGAAACCATCTCTGGGTATTTATGGAGTGGAGCAGAGACAAATGTCATTGGGGGAGTGAACTGTCATCGTGACCATAAAGGAAGTTAAACAGTGAGTGTAAGAAGAAGAGAAATGGGGCAAATCGATGTGTCGGATAAACAGCACCATAAAAGGTAAAGTAGTGGCTGGTGAGCTTCGTTTGAGGAAGACGTCTCTAACGTCTCTGACGAAGCTGCTTCAGTTGAGCTGAATAATGAGGCGTGTCCAGTTCATTCCTTTTAACTTCATCTCACACTGTATTTTGTTTAATATTTGAACATGTATTCTAATACAAACCCTTGAGATACTCATGGACATGCGGGTTAGCTGAGCCTGGAATCAAACCGCCAACCCTCTGATTGGAGGACGACCCAACTCACCCACAGTCTCCTGACTTCTCTGCTTCGAGTGTTTCCTTCGTACTTTTATTTTAGCATTCACTAGCTTACGCGTGTTCCCCCACAGCTGTAGATTTACTTTTTACTTTTAGGCTTTTCTTCTTACTTTTAGCATTTACTCAGATTAACTTACAGACGGAGGTTTAACTACACAAACACACACTTACAGTTTTTTCCGGTTGCTAAACGTCAGCGGACACAACTGGAGTCACATGTGCAAAACTCTGACTCCAGTCTGCAGCAGCAACAGTCACCTGAGCTCAACCGCTCACATCACCTGCACAACTCACTGCAAGCAACACAACTCTTAACACACGACTCCAAACAGGCTCAGTGCAGCAAACACTGTGAGAACACACACTGTCACTCACACACTGAGAGTACAAACACCAGCACACAAAATACTCACTGTTCATCTTTACACTTTGAACCATTTCAGTGACGTCATACAAAGTAAGATTTTCTTTCTTTGTCATTTAGCTGACGCTTTTATCCAAGTGCAAAGTGCAATCTCCTCAAATAACCCAATTTACAATTTGCTGTAGATAAGAACCATTATAAGTCCAATGTAAGTGCTACAGTTAGTTAGTGTGTTAGTGGAGGTAGAGTCTGAAGAGGTGTGTCTTTAGTCTGAAGATGTGAAGGCTCTCTGTGGTCCTGATGTCTTCAGAGACCTCCTTCCACCATTTAGGAGCAGGACAGCAAAGAGTGGAGATCTAGTCGAGTGTTTTGCTCTCAGTGAGGAGGAACAAGCAGTTTATCACATGCAGAGCGGAGAGTGCGGGTCGGGATGTAACTCTCGCAGGAAATAAAGGAAGTTAAAAAGTGAGCGTGAGAAGAAGTCAAATGGGGCGAAACCGTGTCACATAAACAGGAGCATAAATTACAGTTTTTTCCAGTTGCTAAACGTCAGCGGACACAACTGGAGTCACATGTGCAAAACTCTCCAGTCTGCACAGCAGCAGTTCATGAGGACCGAACTCTAGATCCTTTCATTGCTGAACACAGTTTTCAAAACTCTACACGCTGATCACATGACGTCTCCACAACCTGCACAACACTGTGGATTTACAGCACTTTGTTCAAATGCAACACACTGCTGTCAGAACTGTGAACCACTGAAGAACTGTGAACTGAAAGGCTGAGCAGGTGTCTTGTTTTAGACTTGTTAGTGAACACACACACATATATACATGTGTATACATACATATATATACATATATATATATATATATATACGTACTTACATACATATAAATATATATATATATATATATATATATAGGTAGAGCTCAGAAAGACTCATTTTGAAATGGAAGAAGGAAGACGGGTTGGTGGAGACAAAGAAGACAAAGAGCTGTTACTTCAGATGGAATAAGGCTTCACTTATAAACCATGTGGTGAACCACGTCTCTCACTGAGAGCGTTGAGGGTGGAACCCGATCTGCAAACATCCACAGTGGCGTCTGTAATGCAACTTCTCCATCATACAAACACATGTCCCTTTTTGTGTGGTGACCCGTTATTTATTTATTTTGTGAATTATCTTTTAGATGATTTATAATTCTTTTGATATCAACGATTTAATTTCACATTATTGGTTATTATTAACCAGAGCAAAGCGCCTGCAGCGTTCCCAACGAAGGCCTCTTACAAAGAGCACGTCCTTAACAAACCGCACACGCTTCAACTCTGTGACCATGCGTTCTTTGTCAGAGACGCCCGCAGGAAGTAAAGGAAGTTAAACAGTGAGCGTAAGAAGAAGTAACATGGGCCGAAACCGTGTCACATAAATTAAAGTAGTGTCTACTGAGCTTTGTTTGAAGCTGCTTTAGTTGAGCTGAGTAATGAGGCGTGTCCAGTTAGTTCCTTGTTGTTCGCCCGTATCTGTAACTGTCCGTCTAGTCGGAGAGGAACGGCACGCATATCAGGACTGGTGAAAATGTGATATTTTTGAGGTCTCACATCTGGGTATAAAGAAATGTTTCTATAGCGCCCCCTAGAAATGTGAAAAGTACCTCAGTAGCTCAGTGTTTTCTGCGATGCCTGATTGAGTTGAAATCTGACACACATGTGCTCTTGGACATATAAAAAACTCAACCATGGTAAACAAATGCGCCTAATTATATTTTCGGCCATTTAGAATCTGGTCAAAAACATGTTTTTGTCCATTTCTCTTAAACACTGTTTACAATTCTCAAGACATTTTCTGTGGATCATTATTGGTTCAATGTCCACCTGAATAAAAACAAAAATTGTTCATGTTATTGTTGTTTATCTCATTGATTTGAGAAGATGTGGACCAATGAACTTCTAAGGGGTGTGGCTTAATATGGCCAGACACATATCTTCCAAATGACGTGGCCTGCCCTCACCAAATTTGTAGCATATGTATATTTGCGCCCCTAACCAAGCCTCGTTTTCAAGTAATATTTGAAGACTAAAGAGGCGGCAGTTAATCGCTCAAGATCTGGATTTTTTGCCATTTTTTGGCTATTGTCGTTGTTTATTGGAGTTGTAAAAGATCAAACTCCTCCCAGAAATGAAACCTGATTCTTTTCACATTTGGGGAGTGTGATCTTAAAACCTTGAAGCTTGAAAAAATATTGAACTATGAGTGTGGTGCTTTGGCAAAATACCACAATTCGCCATGAAAGTGAAATGGTTTTAACCAAAAATTATCTGCTCCGTAGTCATGAAAACCTTACACTATAGACATCCATATGACTATTTTTATCCTAGTCATAGCGCCACCCAGTGGCAACAGGAAGTGTATACTTATATTTTACACCCTGCTCCTCGCAGATTAGTTTTTTTCGGTTGCTAAACGTCAGCGGACACAACTGGAGTCACATGTGCAAAACTCTCCAGTCTGCACAGCAGCAGTTCATGAGGACCGAACTCTAGATCGCTTTTCATTGCTTGAACACAGTTTTCAAAAGTCTACACACTGATCACATGACGTATCCACAACCTGCACAACACTGTGGATTTGCAGCACTTTGTTATATATATATATATACAGTATATACAAGTAGAGCTCAAGACTCATTTTGGAAGTTGTACCAAGGAAGACGGGTTGGTGGAGGGAGACAAAGAAAGACAAAAGAGCTGTTATTTCAGATACAATAAGGGCTTCACTTATAGACCATGTGGTGAACCACGTCTCTCATTCCCCACACGTATGAGTCTACCTAACTGTCGCCCTATAGGTGAGCCTGGGTGGGGCCTCGTCTTGATGGCTAATGGAGAGCACCTGGGCCCGGTGTCTCCTAAGCTATATATGCCATGCCCCTGCCAGGTGAAGGGGGCCAGAGGGGGCAGACCCAGAGGGGGCAGATTTTCGGAAAATTAACAACGTGACACGACCAGATGCCTTTCCGTTGCCTAGAATGGATGATTGTATTGATCAGGTTGGGTCGGACAGATTCGTCAGCAAATTTGATATGTTGAAGGGATATTGGCAAGTCCTGCTTTCAAAGAGAGCTTGTGAGATGGCATCATGTATTACTCCATTGGGTCTTTATTCATATAAAGTTATGCCATTTGGGTTGAGAAATGCACCGGCGACGTTTCAACGCCTCATGAATAAGGTTGTTGGTGACCTTGAGGGCGTGGCCGTTTACTTGGATGATTGTGTGGTTTTCAGTGATACCTGGGACTGTCACATTGCTCGTGTTCGCGCTCTCTTTCAGAGGTTGACTGATGCGGGGTTAACAGTGAATCTCGCAAAATGTGAATTTGCTCATACAACAGTCACATACCTTAGCCATGTGGTCGGTCAGGGGGAGGTCCGTCCTGTACAGGCGAAGGTCGCTGCTGTGGAGTCTTACCCTCCTCCTGCTACTGAGAGGGAACTTAGGCGCTTCTTGGGGTTAATTGGGTACTATAGAAGTTTCTGCAAAAACTTTATCTGTGGTCTGTCCGCTTACTGATCTTCTCAAGGACAAGGTCAAGTTTGTCTGGTCCACCCGCTGTCAGCAAGCATTCCGAAATGCTAAGATCTTGTTGTGTTCTGCTCCAGCGTTGGCAGCTCCTCGCATGGATCGACAGTTCAAGCTGCAGGTTGATGCGAGTCATGTTGGAGCAGGCTGACGGTGGAGGGGTGGACAGGCCGGGCTGTTTTTTTTCCAAGTTTAATAAGCATCAGCTTAATTATTCTGTGATTTGAGAAGGAAGCATTGGCACTGGTGTGGGCTTTGGGGCATTTTAGTGTCTGTGTTGGGTCTGGGGTACCTGTTACACATCACAAACCACTTACATTTCTGGACTCACTTAAGTGTCCGAACCAAAGGCGTATTAGGTGGTCTTGTGGTCTTGGTGTTCAGAGCCCTATCTAATTTCTGATGGGTTTTTTTGTAGACTGGCGTTGACTGCCATGGCCTGTTCTCTCCCCGGACAAAACCTGTTTGTGCCCCTTTCATCTGGCAGGAGGCTGTCTGGGGTGAGAGGGGTCGGCTACCATCTTTTTAGCTCGCTTCAGAGACCTGGAAGCGAACAAGTCCTGCAGGGACGGCAGGTTTCAGCCGATCACCCTCTTTGCAGAGGGGATGACACGCTGCAGCCTGCCCTTGTCCTTGGCTGTGGCTGCAGCGCACCAGACGCCCTTACAAAGACCACGTCCTTAGCAAACCGCACACGTTTCAACTCTCGCAGGAAATAAAGGAAGTTAAAAAGTGAGCGTGAGAAGAAGTCAAATGGGGCGAAACCGTGTCACATAAACAGGAGCATAAATTACAGTTT